TCCAGATCCTCCTGTATGATATCCCAGTCCTTCTCTAAATTGGCAATGCCTCCCAGCTTTGTATCATCCGCAGACTTTATTAGCACACTCCCACTTTTTGTGCCGAGGTCAGTAATAAAAAGATTGGTTCCAAAACTGATCCTTGAGGAACTCCACTGGTAACCTCCCTCCAGCCTGACAGTTCACCTTTCAGTAGGACCCACTGTAGTCTCCCCTTTAACCAATTCCTTATCCACCTTTCAATTTTCATAATGATCCCCATCTTTTCCAATTTAACTAATAATTCCGCATGTGGCACGGTATCAAACGCCTTATGGGGAATTATTAGTTAAATTGGAAAAGATGACCGAGTTGTTACGTGTTTGGGTTGTGTAATTAGAAAACCAGTATGATTCAGAAACACTTAGCTGACTGATACATACTGAACTTCAAAGATACACCATCAGGCTAAGTTTTGTGAATGGTAGGAATGTAGATCCTAAAGGGGAAGATCTAATGGAATGCTAAATCATATTATATTGTTACGCCACTAGGTGGCACTGTGTAAAATACCTTATTTAAACTAACCTCAGCCCCACTGGCAGCACATTAAATGATCATCTTATGAGCACATCTGGAGAGTATCTTGCTCAGAAGTAGGGTTACCAGATAGCAAATGTGAAAAATCAGGATGTGGTTGGGAGGTAATAGGTGCCTATATAATAAAAAGCCCCAAATATCAGGACTGTCCCTTTAAAATTGAGACATCTGGTCACCCTACCCTACTCAGAAGTAAGTGCTGTAGTTAATCTATATCTGCTACAAGAGCATGGCAAGAACAGAAGTCCCTGAGCATCTATCTCCCCACCATATTTATCGTTTTTTCCTTGTCAGGTGGTGAATTTGTCTTCCCTTAGAATTTTTGTTCCTAAAGTTTAATTCAGAATGTCACATGAATATACTCATTATTTTACTGAGAATTGTTTACTTAGCAACAAAGAAAATTCCTTTCCCTTGATGTAAAAAAAGCTCTGAAGTTGTATCTCTTTCATTCACACAACATTTGGAAGTCCAAAGAACTCCTTGTTTTGAAGGCTGCAGTAGGGGAAAGACATTAGCATTATATTCTGTTGTCCTATTATGAAGCCAAGAAGCTTAAATCCTAAACTTGTGAAGTGTCTTTCTTGTGGTTGTGAGGATAACTTTCAATTCTGCTACATCACAGTGGGTCCACTTTACCACAGCATACAGGTCTGGGCTGAGGTGTGTTATCTGTTTTACATTGTTGCCACCTAATTTTTGGCATATTCTGGGGAGCTATGCTGATCTTTCACTGTATGGAGAGGTCCAGTGGTTAGGGGCTAGCCTGGGACTCGGGAGACCCAGACTCAATAGCCTGCTATTTCTACCTATAGCCTGTGCTATACAGGAGGTCAGACCAGATTATCACAATGGTCCTTTCTGTCTTTAGAATCTGTTTGTCTGGTTGGTGTTCCAAGCTCCCCTGTAGGTATCCTCTCTGGGATACCAGTGCTTGCTATGTACACTGCCTACATGCTGTACAGAGGATGATAGAGGTAATTCTTTTGGTTTGTAGTCCTCTCCCCTCCTATTCTAAGATTTTCTCTTGCTTGGAGATTGTATTTTCTCTTTGTTCTGCGAGATGATGTTAAATCCTGTTTTTCTGATACGTGGAGTGATAATACTATGTGAAAATGCTATATCTGCAAATGATGAGAGAGGAGAAGACTACAACAAACAATTACCAAAGAATAAAGTTCTTAGTGCATTTTCTTTAGGATGGCCTTCAACCAGGCCTAGCTACTTCCACTCTAAGTGGTCAGATGTCTTCTCTACCCCATTCTTTTAGTTATGCCAAACTACAGCATAGCTTCACATACTGATCAAAAGTTTCAGGGAATCACTATCTTCAAATCTATTGATGTCCTCAGTTTCTAGATGGCACTAGCCTTCTTTAGGCTCTACCAGAGGAACCTGTTGAATTTTGATTCAATCCTGTAGTATTTCTTCTCTGTAAAGGGACCATTTCTTAGTAACAATTCAACCAGATGGGTGTCGAAATTAGTAAACCTCTCTGTGGAAAGAGCTGTACTGCATCTTCCTTTTAGATTTTGGACTTTTGCAGACTTTATCCCAAAGTGTCGCACATTCTTTCACAGAAATCTGAATACGATACCTTGCTATTGCCCTTCCGCAAAAGTGAGAGAAAGTATGTCACAAGTTAGACACATACAGAACTTTATCTGGAAATCCAATTTCCTTTTTGTAGCACCTCTTTTGAGAAGCAGAGGGAAAAAAGGCACATAAAGATACTATTTTCTGTTGGATATGAAACTGGATATTAGTCTTACAAAGCACAAGGTCTTTGAGCCAATTAGAACAGGGGTTCTCAACCTTTTTCTTTCTGAGGCCCCTCCAGCATGCTTTAAAAACTCCACAGCCCATCTGTGCCACAACAACTGCTTTTCTGCATATAAAAGCTATGGCTGGCATTAAGGGGTAGGAAGCAGGGCAGTTGCCCTGGGGCCCACGCCACAAGGGGCACCGCAAAACTAAGTTGCTCAAGCTTCAGCCCTAGCTGCTAGAACTCAGGGCCCTAGGCTGCAGTCCTGCATGGTGGGGCTTCAGCTTTCTGCTCTGGGTCCTAGCGAGTCTAACACCCGCCATGCTTGGTGGACCTCCTGAGACCAGCTCACAGCCTCCCGGGGGCCCCAGACCCCTGGCTGAGAACCACTGCACTAGAACATATTTACTTAGATCAGTTTCTGTCACCTTGAGACAAGCTTTTGAGCTACACTGATTTTTGTAAACAGTTATTGTCTAAGGTATTATATAACTAATCACTGCAGCTTTTAAAAGATCAGTGATATCTATGTATTAATGTGCTGCATTCATAGGCACCGACTTCCCCTCTTTCCTGTGGGTGCTCGACCCCTCTTTGCTCCCAGGTCCTGCCCCACTCCACCCCTTCCATGAGGCCCCGCCCCTGGCCCACCTCTTCCCACCCCTGTCACGCCCCCATTCCAACTCCTTCCCCAAATCCCCACCCCAGCCCTGCCTCTTCCCACTTCCTCCCTTGAGTGCGCCACGTTCCCGCTCCTCACCCTCCCTCCCGGAGTGTGCTAAAGCTGCCAAACAGCTGTTTGGCGGCAGCTGGGCAGGAAGCACTGGGAGGTAGGCGGAGCAGCAGGGATGTGGGGCGCTCATGGGAGGAGGAGGTGGGGCAGGGGGGTTGAGGGGAGCATGGCTGCCGGTGGGTGCAGATCACCCACTAATTTTTTTCCTTGGGTGCTCCAGCCCCAGAGCACCCATGGAGTTGGCGCCTATGGCTGCATTTGTATTGAATTACCCTGTTTTTTATTAAATTAAGGGAAAATTAAACATCTAATTGACTCTGCTTTTGCCTGCAGGGTATACATTTGGCTAGGGAATCCAATGAACTGTGTTTTTTGACTGTGGTGTCTTTTTATTTGAGTGTGCAGACATTCATTTGCACAGCCTATTCTAATAGGCATACACATGAAGATGGGTCTCCAGTACTTGCATTTTAACTAGAGATGGATATTATCTTTGTTTATGTAAGCATTTCCCAGAGGTGGAGTGTGAGGGACTAGCCAGAGAGGTGTAATGGAGCTGCCAACAGGCTGTTTAATTGTTCTTAAAAGTCACAACTTTAATTAAAAAAAAAAAAAGTTAGGGCCTATCACAACAAGTAAATGCTATCAGATAAGGGGAAAAAACCTTCAGAATGTGTCTCAAGTGTAAATGATACAACAGTGTTGGGCTGTGTTTGCAGAGAGCCTGAAACAATAACACTGAGATGTGACCTACCCCATTCGTTTCGGTGGATTCTAACTCTGATGCCAAAGTGACACTTCAGATCAGCATTTCCCAGAGATCCTAACTGCAGGGATGTAAAGTGAATGCTGTCTCAGTTGTGAGCAAAGTATTGCTACAATAAGCCACAGGAGGGACTCTAACTTGTAAGGAATCGGTACTATGTATATTGACAGGTTTCAGAGCAGCAGCCGTGTTGGTCTGTGTACGCAAAAAGAGAAGGAGTACTTGTGGCACCTTAGAGACTAACAAATTTGTTTGAGCATAATCTTTTGTGTGCTACAGCTCACTTCATCGGATGCATGCTGTAGCTCACAAAAGCTTATGCTCAAGTAAATTTGTTAGTCTCTAAGGGGCCACAAGAACGCCTTTTCTTTTTACTCCGTATATTGTTGCACATGTACCAACAAACGTTTCCATCAAGAGGATATCACATGAGATGGACTTGGCACAGTAAGGCTGCTCCTGCCAGTTTAAGGCAAAAGAACTTCTGTGGTGCCATTCTTTTCCCTTCTTAAGAGGGACTCCTCTTGCTGAGTTGAAAAATCATTGTGCCAGCTGAACCTTGAGAGTGCCAATGTGTCTGGCACTTTAATGGGCACTTCCTCCTCGAATGTCTCGGCTGCAATTGAGAAGGTTTAAAGATGCCCAATCTTTCTGTTCATTAAGGGGTAGGTTTTTTTTTTTTAAAGTGAAAGTTGTGGTATACTGAAAACTGTGTTCAAATTACAAGCTATCCCTATCAGATTTTTAAGGGGCTTCATGGTCCTGCTTGCAGGCTATTGGGCTCTCTAGGGAAGTATGTGATCGGGGCATGAAGCAGTCAGTCTGCAAAGAGCCAGCCTAGAGCAAGGTGGGGGTGAGCTGTGCTGCTCTGCCGTAGGAAGCTGTCTGCTCTATGTCTGTCCGGTTTTGGCTCTCTTGTGTTGGGGTTCTTGATTCTAAGAAATAAAGTCAATGTTATGTTGCATCATTCCAGAAAGAGTATTTAATTTTTAATCTAATTTCTCTGTGTGTGCCTGCTGTGGATGTAACAATCGTGTAACATCTTTTTTTGTTTTGTTTTTTGTAAAAAGAATGATCCATATTGGTAAAAATTCCATTGTCCGACTTCCTCATTTGTGATCCAATTCCCCTTATTTACATTCTGATTTTTCTTGTAGGGATTTCCTTCCTCGAGGATCTGGAATTGTAACAAGGCGACCATTGGTTCTACAGCTTGTCACTGCCAAAACAGGTAATTTACCTGATGTATATCCCTCTTATATAGTTCAGCATCAAAGTATTTTTACTTGAATGTTTTTTTTTAAGTGTTATAAGCCTGTCAGTGTGAGGGTTTACACCAGTCTTTTGAGTTGGAAACAGACTATTCAAAGCAGAGTTTGCCATGGGGAAGAAAGGTCCCAACACTGCAAACACACACGTGCATGGTCCCATTGAGCTCATGGTCCCATCTGGGCCATAGTCTGTAATAATTTTGGATAAACTTAAGAGCATGACATATTTCCAAGTAGCTAGTGGTTGCTTTTAATGGCTAAATGTGAAAAGTAGGGAAAAAAAGTAATATGTATTAGTTATTTTAGAGAGAGAGAATTATCTTTGAATGTTAGATTAGATATGTTTTTTCTCAGTAACCCATAAAATTAGGTTTAACAAAATAAAATATAACTAAAATGGACATACAGGGACTTCAGTTTTGCTCTCCAGGGCAGTCAGTGGTGTTTGCAAACAGCCTGTTTTCTCTGGTAACTTTTCCATGTCATGAGTTCTGGAAATTTCTGGAGAAGGGCAAAGTTGGCAGTAATAGAATTTCCTGAATCAAAAAAATTATCTGACCAAAAATTATACTTTAGCTTGGACACAGTATTGTGTATGCAAAACTGACCATATTTGTCAGCATTCGTTAACTTATGCTTATCTAAATGAACTTTCATCTGCCATTGTGCTGTCCAATCTCCCACTGTGTTTAAAATCATCTGGAATTTCTCATAATCCCACTGGTTTTTAATAGCCAAACACAGTGTGTTCAGTAAACTTCACTAGCTTGCTCTTGACTTAAGCTATAAATTACTAAAATATGGTAAATAAAAACAAAAACTACGTTAAGAGTGTTCAGGTGGCAAAGGCAAGCACTCAGAAGTTAAGAAATGCCAGAATTAAAGTTGATGCAACCTTAATTTAGTTTGCTTGTGTGAATGCATTATTACAGAGTCTTGAATTACTTGATCAGATACTACCTTTCCACAGGATCCCTGCTTCATTCAGTGAATGGGTGGTTGTTCAAATATTTTTTTATCTCTCTTGTTCATTGTGTAGTCTGTGCTGAGTGCAAAATTAAGTTCCTCAGTGGTGTGCTTCATAAACGTTGATGAGTTTATCTGCACAACACCATTGGGGTATTGGGTGATTTTATTATCCCCAATTTACAGAAAGGAAAATGTAAACAAATACGATTGTGCAATTGTATCATCCCTACCATAATCCTCAGCAGGGTTTGAGCCACAAATGTTCAGCTCTGTAGCAGACTTCTACCACTTGTGCTATAGGACAACTAGCTACAGTATCTGGTAGCTGAAAAGAGGTGGAGGAAATGGGCCATGTGCAGGATGCTTGGGTGGAGGCCAGCCCAGCATGCTTTAGAGAAAAATTGAGGAATCTACCTGTGCCCCCTAGCCAATCCTTCATATTCCTTGAGTGGGGCATGCCCCTGCCTTTTGGGAAATGCTGGCCTATTGATTAATTGTTCATTGTTATACAATAAAACTTTGCTCCTTTTTCGCGTTTTTTTCTTTTTAAAGAAACTTCAAGTAAATTGGATCCCCTGGGTCACCTTTATCCATTTCCCCAATTTAAAAAATAAAGAACCCACAGCTGTAGCAGGTTAGAGAAGCACCGTTTTCTCTGACAGGAGCTGTGCAGTACTGATGTTATCCAGTTTATACTTACTTGACTGTTGGAAAATATAATTAAAGATAGACTAGTACAACAGTTTCTCCAGTACCATGAAGAGACTCTCCAACCTGTAATCCTAGAATCTTTCCTGGCTTCTTTTCTATTAAAGTGGAATACACTTTAAAAAAAAAAAAAACTACAATGGGATGGTGCCATAGTTCTTGGGATACCCAGGACTGGGAGTCCCCTTGTTACCCCCCACAGCCCATCGGAGGCTTGCTTGTGTTTATCTGGGTGTTAGTTTCCCTTACACTGCCAGTCTGTTAGCCACTCAAGCAGTCTGCAAGCCCTTACTTTGTCTTGCAGTTTAACAGTAGGTGCATCCCAGTCCTGACCCCCTTCAAAGTATCCCTTGTAGTGTCCAGTCCCTTATTCACTGAACGCTCACAGAAATATCACATCTGCTGTCCCCAAGGGAATAGCATGCACACCAGCTTGTATGATTCAACTCAGGATCATCACCTAGCTTAATACCACAGCATTGAGATATATTTACAGGGAAAACTACAATAAGTTGATTGTCAAAGATTCAAGAGACAGTCAGTAAGGATAACTGGTTAGATAGAAAACAGGTTAGATATAAAACAAAATCAGAACATGCTTTCTAGAGGCTAAACTTAATTTAACAGGCTAATCTTCTGTCTAAAGTAGTTTCTTACCCCAGAGTCCTTTGCAACATTTGAAACCCAGGTTGGTTGAGATTCTGTTTTCGTGAATGTAAACATGCTGCCAGTTTTCTTCCTAGGTGCAGAATGGTGGGATGTCTTTGTTCCTCATGTATATAGTCCAGCCAACGTTTCAAGTCTATTGCAAGATAAGGCTCTCTTCCCTCATTGTGTGCTCTTCCTGGTTGACTTCATAGCTCTCTGACTGTATGCAAATGTGCCTCCATTGTCTTAGCTTACAACACTTAATTTACATGCCAACAGAGAGACCGGCAAATAAACATCTTTTATTTGACAGGAAACATGTTTCTCTACTTCTGCTGTAACACAGAATCAAGAACATATTTTCATAGAAAATTCATTACACAGTATCTGTTCATACATTTCAGCAATGACATTAATGGCCATTGTGGCCCTGGCTTTCATTTAAGACCTCACATGGGATTCTTTGGTGAAACAGAATGTACATACTAGTATCAGGATATTCTTGTAAGTCCCTTGCCAGCTGGGTCACAGGTGAGGGAAACCTTTCTTAATATTATCAAGGGGAAGGAGACTACATGTGTGAGTGTAAGAGGGTATTAGCAACTCCTATTGAGTTGTGAAGTCGGGGGGCTTCTCAGGTGCGAAGGGTTGGTAGATGGTGCTAAGGGCTAGGGATGGTATTGGACTAGGGGCAGATGGCAAAAGAGGTTGAGGGTTTGGCAGCGCAGGTGTTGTTGCACACTTGAGCTGCTTGCAAACTTTGGGAACTGGGGACATATTGTGGAAGGGCACAGGAGGATATGGCCACTGCGGGGTGTCCTAGCCATTGGTATAGGATGGTCTGGCGTTTGTGTGGGATGGGATGGATCTTGTGTGTTGGCTTGAAAGGCAGTGGGCTAGGTGTTTTAAAATGAAATACTTCAATAATGAAAAGATATAGCCAGTGGAAGATTTACTTTTAAGTGGGTTTTTCTATGCTTCATCTTTAAAGCAGTCTTGGCAATTACCTGGATATATTGTAGTGATCCATTGTGGTCTTGCTGTTTAGTCAGATTGATAGTTTTATGGTGGGAACAGAGGTTAGTTCAAGTATTGCTCGTATATCACATCTTATGCCTCTAGTACTCCCATAGTTGTATAAATCCTGTATTCTCTTACAGCCCCACGTATGAAGAAAAAGCCTTTCATTAAACATTGTGAGTGACATGAGCCCTTAAGCAGCTGGCACTTTCTCTTGACCAAGTCTGATGATGTCAGCAATATCTGGTGGTGGTTTGTCAGGAGAAGTAAAAATCTGGATGTCATGGGTGATCTTGTAATTGAAAGGAAAGTTCTGCTAGAATTGTTCTGATTTATGAGGCTCGTATTAGGGCTGCCCAGCTGGTTTTGAACTATAGTTGCAAACAAAGTGTGCTGCATTTGTAAATATATTCTATACTACGCCAGCTTCTCCAAAACAATAACATCTTGTAAATGTCCGGAGACCCATCAAATGCTCTGTGCTGGCCACAAGAGAGATTTAATATTCATTGCATGTATAGCATATGGACTCTTGAGAGACTATAGATAAGGTCAAACGCATTACTCTCAAGCCAAGTCAACAGCTCATGGTTTAAGTGAAGTGCGTTGCCTTTTTCAAGCATTGCTTAAAAGTTGTATCAAATGGACATGCACAGCCTTTGTTCTGTAGTCAGCAGAATGAGACAACCTATTCTTTACTTAGCTTTGGTTACCATTATTCGTAATGAAAATGAGAGAATAGGGTCCCCTTACTACATTATGAATGCATGCTGAACAATGCTTTTGTGTCCTATCTTTGGAAGCTGTGGTCTCATTGTACTGTGAGTGAGACTTTATATTTAGTGGTGAATATTTTGATATGTATTATGGTGGCCACCATTATTACAGGCTTCTTTGAGCATTGCCTGCACTGGTCCCTACACTGGACGATGTGTGCACTTCAGCGCACAAGCTCAGAAGTTTCTGGGTAAATGTCCATTGGGCTGTGTGTACAACCTACTTGTTGGAGCACAGGGACAGTTCTTTCTGACTGCCACATAGATTGAGCATAGATTGAAACTTGGTGGTTTTGTATTGCTACCCCTGTTCGTTCATTACAGAAACCTTTGTCTCTTCAAGACTTCTGCTCCCAGATGTAGTGATGGCTCTTCAGAGCCTAGAAAGACGAGGCACAAATGGTACCATGAGAATATCTGACCCAGGGCCAGGACAGCTCTGAGTATCAGGAATGTTTTCTGTGCCACGGACCCTTGGGAGCTTAGCTTTCAGGTGTGTCAGTGCCTTTGCACTGGGTCTATTGTTTTAAAATTTCCTTCATTGGTGTGTACTTGTTGAGTTCTGTAGTGTCGTGAGGAAGTCTTGGTATGGATGGAGGGTTGGTTACTAACTGTTCCAGTTCCTCCTTTATCACCTGTGCATTTGGCCCTTTCTTCCTATTCTTCTGTGGTTCTGGTCTGCTCAAAAGAGATGGGGCATTGTCTTTTTCACAGGACAGGTCCTTGTGTTTTGGTCCAAGCAATGGTGTGCTGTCCAGGGTCTGGTCTCCTATTGCTTTTGCCAAAGCTCTGCTCCAATACTTTTTTAGAAGTATCTATTAGACCCCACACATTGGTTT